TAGGCTATAATTAATTCATTACATTTCAATATCAACTCACTCAGGACCAAATTTCTTTTGTGTGATAAGGAAGAAAATCTATCACTGTGACCAGGAGAGTGAAAATGAAAAGTTAAAATGTGGGTTAGCTCAAGACCACATATGTTCAAAGTTGTTGAAAAACTATGTACATTTACATATTGATTGTACAGGTACAGACTGATATGATTATGGTTTTCTCTGTTCTTCTTGGATTTTTATTTATTTATTTATGTTTGCATTTCCACTTCTGTGTGGGCTTAGTGCCCGTGTGTACTTGAGATTTATTCTAAGTCCTTAAGTACTGATGTAGGCTAATTTAAGGAAAATGTCCATACAAAACCATGTTCAGGAAATGCAACTTTGGTCCACAACACAAGAAACAAGAGACAATCTTTGAATAATTCCTGAAAACATATTCTTCAAAATTTTCTGATATACTTACAGTCAAGGCAACCATGAGAGCCATGATAAATGCGAAGACAAAGAACCTCATATTTGGCTGAGTCCTGTGAAAGCATACATGACAGATCATTCCTGCACTTGCAAATCACATATTGATCAAAGTAGGGGCCACAGCTTTGGGAGACAGATTGGATTTATGAAGAGAATTAAAACACGTCGCCTGACATCATGGAACTTAGAGAGTAATAGAGAACATTGATATGTAAAGATAAGTGCTGTGGTATACAAATAATATCCTATATGATAAGAGGCTAATATGCAAATTGACCTAACTGCAGGATGACTGGTCACTATGATGTGCACTGACCACCAGAAGGCAGATGCTTAATGCAGGAGCTGTCCCCTGGTGGTCAGTCTGCTCCCACAGGGGGAGCACCGCTCAGCCAGAAGCCAGGCTCATACCTGGAGAACATAGTGGCTGTGGTGGGAGCCTCTCCCACCTCTGTGGCAGCATGGAGAGCGGGCCTAAGCCATCAGTCAGATATCCCCCAAGGGCTCCCAACTGTGAAAGGGTGCAGGCTGGCTGAGGGATCCCCTCAAGTGCAAGAATTGCATGCACCAGGGCTCTAGTAGTATCATTAAAACAGACAAAATGGGCATCTTAAACAGACCATGAGAGGGAAGGTAGTAGTATTAAAGTAAAGAAAAGGTAAAGCATGTGTATATAGAATAAGCAAAGAGAGATTTGGAGAAACAAAATGAGAGAGAGGATAACACATAAGAAGAGCAAAAATGGAAACAGGCTGTTCATTTAGATTGTTGTGGCATTATAGGGGCCCTACATAATGACAAATGGTCTAATAATTAAGGTAAGATTTAGAAGTTAGAATTCAAGCAACAGAAACAGTTTTTATAATAGAGGTAGAAAAAAATCAGACAGGTTTCTGGCTTGAGAATTGTGGAGGTATTACTCTAGTATTAGAAAATTTATGATAATGGACAAAGAAAAGTCAAATTAAAGGAGTTTCATGGAAAATAATTATAGATAAATTGAGAAGTTGGATTGGTAAAAATGATTTATTCTCCAAAAAATATTATTCAACAAAAGTACTTTAATCTGGGACTCTGATAGGCTTTCTGTAATCCAATATATACAAGTGAACTCATTTCTGTTGCTGTTGTATTGGAAATAAATCCAATTATTTATTTCTCAATTATAGACTTCTAAATAAAAACATATTACAAATGATAAGGTAAATAGTGAGTAAACATTTTTTTCCCACTGACCATTTTTGGCCCTCACTTTTGATAGAACAATAAAATAACATTTTTTTTTCTGATAATAGGAGAAACTATTCTAAATCCCAGACAGCTGAAGCATAATTTGTGACTGATGGTATTTTTCTTGTTCCTTATATGCTGATTTTGCCTCATGGGTTTAAACTTAGGACTATATCATTGGAAAAACTAAGAAAACTATGTTTCTTGATGCAGATTTTTTTTATCCTCTACTACTTACCAAACATTTAGTCATGTGATAATACAAATAAAAATGCAGCTTTTAGTATTGTTCATATTTCAAATTTTATTGAAAGTAGGAAATTAGAGAAAAAATCAAAGAAGCTAATTATAGATAGATACCCAGATAGATAATTTAGGATTTTTGAAGAAATATTATCCAAAGAACACAATGATAAAAATTTAATATAGTATAAATTTCAACCAAATCATAATGAAATAAAAATATATTACATAAAATGAATCAATAAAACAAAATAGTCTATTATATATATAGTGCTAATTAGGCAGAAAATCAGAAACTAGTTTATGATAAAAAAAACAATGAAAATGTAATAGAAAATGAATTAGTGATAGTAATACAGTAACTTTGGTGATGGTTAATTAAACCTTTGAAATAATACACACATGTGAAAAAAAATTAAACTTATGCTACTCAAGAGATCATTTTTCTTATAAAAGATAATCTTAACCTTTAAGTTAAAGGTAAAATTAAATATTAACACAGTGGTTGTGATAAGTTGAGTCAAGAAAATAAAAAGACATCTAGGATATTCCATCTATGGAGAGCATGAGCATATCTCCCCTTTGTCTATATTATTCTTTTGGTACAATGCTTGCTGTAAATTTAGGGTCATTGTGATCCTGTCCTCAACTTCCAACTCTCACATAGGATCATTACTTCTTTCAATCATTTCTTTATGGGAAATTACCAATAAATAATGTACATTTTAAAAATAGTTTATAATTTACTCTGCCAAACAAAAATCAGAATGAGACATCATATTACATTTTTCATAAATATATTACCTTTTACCCAAGATGAGTCGCAAGAGTTCAAGAAACTGATACTGTGAAGCCTTAAGAGATGGTGTGCCTTTCTAGAAGACTGATGTATTTATATACCCTGAAATCCTCCATTTGTTTTTCTAAATCATGTCAACTATAAGATGATAAATATTGAACTAAAAATAATGGCCCAAATCTGTCCCCAAAGATACTAAAAATAGACTTAAAGTTTACAATAGGAGATTGTGAAGCAGAGTGACCAGGAAATAATTGTGCCCATCATGTGTTAATCCCAGTGTTTGTCTAGTTATACATGAACAAGCCTCAGAGAAATGTGTGCTATAGTAAAGTAAGCGTGGAAATGAATTGAAATGGTAAAAGTGTTTTTGAGGAACACCACCTGCTCTGTTTGAACAAATGCATGTCTAAGATGGAAAAACTCCATGTCCAAAATGATACTA